TTTAACAATTTAGGTTGCAAACAATTTCAGGTTGGCATTTCACTTATGAAGAAATAAAAATGTCTAATAGCACATTAAAAATGTTCAACATCACTAGTCATTAAGGAAACGCACATTAGGACAAGATGTCACTACATACCCACTAAGATGACTAAGCATAAAAAAAGAATAATAACTTCTGGTGACTACAGAAACTGGGATCTTCATACATTGCCAGTGGGACTGTAAAATGATTCAGCCAATTTAGAAAATGATCAGACAGGTCCTCAAAAAGTTAAATGTAGACTTACGATGCAATCCAGCTACTTCATTTCTAGGATCTATCCCAGAGAAGTGAAAATAGGTAAGGGGGCTGCAAAAAATTCACAGAAAATGGAACGGAAAGTCAATGGAATGTTTCCATGAAAATTTTTAAGCCCCCTTGTATGTTCACTCATAAACTGTTGTACATGAATGTTCATAGCAGCATTAATTGTGTTAGTCAAAACCTGGACATAATCCTTGTGTTCATCAACTGGTAAATAAAGTTATGCAGCATGTCTATTTCACGGAACACTGTATAGCACTGAAGTATAATGAACTGCTAGGACATAGCCTACTATGGATGAATCTCAAACCCACCATGAAACAGCCATGAGGGAAAAAAAGACTATTTTGAAGGGCTTCAAACGTTCATGGAAATTTTCCATTATCCTTTAAAGTTCCCTCGTACAGCTAACCAACATGGGCTTGAAATGCGGGCCCACATACACAGTTTGTTTTCCTGTTACTATTGCAGGCTGGCAACACTAATCATCGCCATGTGAGCAGCTGGACGGTCACCTAAAAGAATATCCTTAGAACTCAGCATTGAAGTCATGTCTAGAGGTTGGGCTTCAGCCAAATAAGAAGTTTGACTTACAAAATAATAGGACTCGTGAGTAATTAATTCCCTTACAGAATCAAATGTGAGGGGGCTTAAAAAGCGTTTGTGGGAAAATGGAATTAAAAGATAAGGAAAACTTTTCATGAAGTTTTTAAAGCCCCCTTATATGAGATCACATAGTTAATATTTCCCCCGAAACGAGAGAAAGGTAGGAAAAGGGAATTATGTCAATAAAAAGACAAAAGCAGAGTGAAAATTTAACGTATGCAAATACACTGCAAAAATTGTAGCCAATTGCACAAAACAATTTGTATAGAAATCAATAAAAGGGATGGAAGAAGCACACCAGCCTGTGCGATCAGGAGGTGTC